TTATTAAGCCACATCATCCTAGAAAGACTTAAAAGTAAATGCTTCGGATTCAAGATTACGACTGGAATAGGCTGGCTGGCTGACTGGCTTCTGGAAAAACAAATTATTTTGGGATCAAACTGCAACGCTACACTACGCATCATCATAGAATAGAGCATATAATGGCAGTCAACTCAACTCAACTTCATCGATTTCGATAGCGTCGTCTGAGTAGTAATTTGGCAGCCACCTCAACACCATGGTTTTAGTGACACAAACCTTTTTCAAGCTCATTCAACAGCTACATGTTATATGATGTTACATGCAAAGCGATTCACAGTGGAGAGGTCAGTGATGCCTTTGAAGTGATGACAGGGATTAAACAAGATTATGTTGCCTACTATCACCGATGATCTTCCTGTTTGTGGTCGACTGGGTCACGCAACAAACTGTGAGGAGCGAGGGGAGGGGCAAACGCTGTTTGGCCGATGAAAAGATTCTAGAAGACTTGGGTTTCGCCGGATGATGATGATGATGATTTATGTTGTGTCCTGTCGCACAAACTCGAAGATTTACAGGTAAAAACCAACAAGTTGACAGAAGAGGTAGGGCAGCGAAGACGGGACCTCAGGTGAACGTAGAGAAGAAAGGGGTGATGAAGAAACCCAACAATAACAACAACAAGCACCAATCACCATCAATGGGATAAATCTAAGCGAAGGTGTCTCTTTTGCCTACCTAGGCAGGACAATATCTTTTCAACTACGGGCAGCACATAAAAGGATGTCAATGCCAGGATCGAAAAAGTAAGACAAACCTTCAGTAACCTGTAATCAGTGTGAAGACCCACTGCACTGCACTCAACATAAAGTGTGAACAAGATCCGGATTTTCAACACTAATGTCAAGTCAGTGCTTCTATGTGATGTCTGAGAGACTTGGCGCGTTACGAAAAGCACTTCCAATAAACTAAAGACATTCATCAACAACTGCCGCCCACGCTCGAACTGAGCATCAGGTGGTCAGAAAGAATAAGCAACAAGGAACTTATTTTGGTCTGGCAACGAGCCAACCAAGAACCCATTGCCCAACAAATGTGTAGAAAAAAGTGGAGATGGATTGGATTGGACACACACTGAAGACCATTCGCGGACATCACGCGTCAGGCCAGGCCGTCGAGTGGAAGCCAAATGGGAAACGACGAGTTGGAGATCGTGTGAGAAGAAAGAAAGGCTTCTGGGGAGTTGTGAAGTCAGGTTGAAAAGACTGCAAAGAGAGTGAAGTGGCTACATGCTACTGAAGCCGTATGTTCCACTAGGAACCTAAGGGATAAATAATTATCAGTGAATCGATTATTGTGAGTGGTTCGACTTGTAAAGTTATTCTAACACAGGAAATTTCACTCCGAATATTGGACTTCGTAGGGACTGTCATGAACCCAAGGTTTATCAGACTACTTCAAATATTAACATAGTTACCTCTTTGAAAGTGATTAGAACTGGAAATAATAGGCATATCGATCTGGAAACTTTCATCGTGCATCATTTGGTTGCACTATGTTAGTCAGATATTGGATTAAGTGCCTTTTAGGTGTCATATTATCTATCTCACAAGGTGAGTAATATACCCCTTACTGTTAAAAGTAATGTGTATCACTGGTAATATCATTATTACTAAGGCACTGAACTTCTTCAGGGAAACAGCCAAAATTGAAATTTATTATACATATAAGTCAAACACCATATAGTTCGTCTCGCTACCTAATTGTGTCTGGATTATGACTGTTTTCAGCATGATTATTAGTCATTCAGTGTGCACGGATATATAAAATGCATGAATGTAAGCGTGTGTGTATGGGTTGAATTTTAGAACCCCAGTTATAACAAAAAATGCAGATTATGTATGTCATTATTGTCAACGCAAGAAGAATGTGTAGGCGTTGTGTATGGTACAAAATATGTCATTTTTTCGTCTACATGTAAAAAACAGAATGAATTGATTCGAATAAGACTGGGTTTTTTCCATCTCCTCTTTGTTTCTTGAATGCCGCAGAATAAATAATAGTAAAAACAATGAAAATTGCTTATTGTTGATGATTATTTGGATGATGATGACAAATTAGTGCGCATAGAAATGAAATGAAATGGAACATTATTGCTAACTCATATGAATAATAATAATGATAATAATGGTAATAATAATAGCTCATTTCAAAAAATACTTTTGATACAATATGGAATTCCCAGCGAGTAATATTTCAACAAATTCATATTCCTGAAAAATATCTTTGAGCAAAATAAGCATTGACATTAGATATAGATTGTATTTGTGTAAGTCATAGCGGCTTTCAAATCAAATAATTCCAACGTTTCTCACGGAAGTTTTGTCGCAGCTTCTTCAGGGAAATAATCAAAATTAAAATATCAAGGATATCAAGAATAAACGAATTCAAAAAAAGTACATTTATTCTCCTTATACAATCATCTTCCTATAGTAATTGTGTTTTTAAATTATGATAACTAATCGTTTAGTGTGAAATTGTATGTAACTTGTTGTATGGCGTCTGCGTGTATGTATGCATATGTGTACTCCAATTCATATTGGTCTCAATTCTAAATATAAGAGGAAAATGCTGCTGGTGACATTAAACATATTAGGTAATTTTATCAGTACTAAACTAAAAGCATGAGGCGGATGTGAAGACCATTCAAGTGCAATAAAATGGTGAATAGCATAAGTGGATTCTTCTCCCATTGATTTATGGTAGAAGAGTGGAAATGAATACAACTAATGATGGTGCGGACGGTGATGATGATGATAATCATATTTGTGTACATTGTATTGTTTATGGAGTTTTGGTCGATTGGTACCACTGTTGACGACAAATGTTTTGTGTCACTCTCTGTGCTTGCGAATTGTTAACTGGGGAGAGTGAGCTAACATTACTACTTCTCGTCTTTTCAAACTGTCTGGACTGATGTATTTCATGATTACTATCATCTCGATTATATCCTTAGAGAGACAAACTTTAGTGCGCTGGATAGCTCAAATGCAACCCTAATTCCTACCTCGTTGATAATCCTACGTAAAGTTCCTCATATTTCTTCTATATGGCGTAACAAAGTAACAGCTTTCAACTTATTAATACTCCACTTTTTCAAGCTTCTATTTTGTCACGCTATATGGTATGAACATCAAAATCTTGAGGTAGGATTCTCAACAGGTGGGAATCAGGGTGGCATTCAAACTCTACAGTTCACTCCAGCTTTGTTGGCTTAAGGATTCTATAAATTCGAATAGTCAAAATAACTAAATCTACTTAATTCCATGCAGTGACGGTGAGGTCAAGTACATAGGTCAAATTAGTCGGTTGAGGTCAGTTAGAATAGCGGGACATAGAAATTTAGATAAATATAGAATGACAGACGTCAACAGGATCAATAATCTGAAAAATATCGCCTACAGCGGTGCATTCATTAACACACAACTAAGCAATAGGGTTGAGAATACCATTGTACTTAAGTCCGAAATAGGTGAATCAACCAGCATCCTACACATATAATAGGATTGACGCAGCACCTATACCAGAGGTATGGAAAATTTTACTACCAGTAAAATCAAAGAATATAGGGTAGCAGGACTATAAAATTCAAATGTCGAAAGTGCTGTGATTACATTTTTGTATGATAATGAGTAATAATTTATACTCTAAACCCCTATGTGGTATATATCAAATAAACAAATATAATTTGGATATTATTGAGTAGACACAACAAAGTTGAACAAATCTCGGATTACGAACAACCACGTGAATTTATTCCCAGTTAACCCAGACGCAATTCTGTTGGTTTTCCATTGGTTTTACGTGTTTAACTAACATAAATTCAGAAAGTAGATTATTTGTTGAGCGAAAATAAAAGTTCGTTTCAGACTTGTTGAAAATTCATTTGACTTCTTCCGGTCTCTTTGCGATACGAAATCACAATTATGTTGCTCCGGTTTTTGGATTGAATTAGACTGAGTGTTAGTGTTGAACAACAGTGGCCTACAAAGCTTAGCAGTGACATGCCTATCTGTAACTTAGTGTGCTGAAGATTCGGATATCTAAAGGAGAAATAGCATACTCAGTATTGCAGACAAGCCTAGTTAACTGGCACCAACACTTCTAAATCTTATGTCTAAAGCTGCTTACCCGTTGTCAGTCAGTCCCAGCCTTCCAATTCACTTATTGCTGATACCAATTCTGGAGACACCAGCAGGGTTTCATGTAGCCATTTCTAAAAGAAGTAAATTCAATGACTCCAGGATTTACACTGTCGAATAATCTGTTTATTTTAATTCCTAATATTTATCCATGTTTCCTCCGATAGTTTTAGATTGTCAGTTTCATGAAAAGCATGATTTTCAGCAAATGAGCTAATGCTCATGGATTTATTTCACGTCAAATGTTCATACAGTAAGTTAAATCGTAACTTCCCCAATGTAATTTTTATTATTACCGCTTTTGAATCTGTAAAAGTACATCTCTATATCACGAACTGACAGGATTTAAAATTAGCGAATCACTGAACTTCGATCCAATGATTAAAGGGTATTGCATTCGCTGCAAGGCCTGATGATCCTGCGTTTGTTACCTTTCAAGATTTTGAGTACTCATTGCTGATGATTCCCAAACTAATGATGAAAGAACTATCCAATCGTCTACGATTTTCAATGGCTTCCCAACTTATACCACTCTTTGTTGAATAAACTCTTTTCAAGCACATATATAATATTTTACTTTCAAAAATTAAACATTCAGAAAGACTAATTTTTTTGGTAAATAAACAGCAGAATCATTGTTCATCAATTGGTAAAACAATAGTGAAATGTATAACAAAAGATCTAAACAAAAATCAGTTGAACAACGTCCTCCATAGAGTAAGAATGTTTTTCTCGCTTATGCTAGAATGATCTGTTTATTTTTTATATAAGTATCTGTATTAAATAATTTTCTCAAGAAGTATTTTTATGGTAGAATGTTCAAAATTTGCTTTCTCCAAAATGATGTCGTGTTGTCAGGATTACTGAAGAAACTATAACCAGCAACAGCTGAAAATGGAAAAAAAATTTTCAAACTGTCGTTGTGCTGACAGGGTAAACTAATATCAGATTTAGCTTCAGAATTGAAATATAATAACTAAGTTTTGCAACTACTAGTGATTTACACCTTGTTGTTTCAGGTAGTCATGGTGTCTAGACCAAAGATTTGGCAGATTTTTGTCTGTTGAGTTCCCACTCAGACGGCCATTCCGAGTACTTATTTGAACAGTGATTTCATAGTTGTAAGTTATTATATGTAGAACTTATATGTGATGTGAACCCTTGCCTTCACGTATATTCAGACGAAAGTAACCGGGAGCTGCAAAATGATTTCCGGAAGACATTGAATTAAAAGACTACCGGTCTAAGAAAGAATGCGTGCTGTCAGATCTTTTACGCTTTTATCTAACATATATTCAGATGGCAGTAGACGTGGAGAATACTCAGGTATTTTGTTGACAGTTGTTGAGAGTAGACAGACGAGAAGACCCAAACTTGAGTTTTTTGAATGTTAGCGCTGATCGACAAGGGATGTCCAAAACCCTAAGAATACTCTTGTTCTGTCAGCGACATGAAACGGTATCACTCATTTTTGAAATCGAAGCCCTCATCAATAAGTTAGGTAGACCATAAATCACTCCCAGAGGACTGGATTATGTACTCGAACCTGTTACTGGTGCGTAAATAGTACAGCTGTATAGTCCTCAGCGCTATGAAAAGGCTTTCGATTGAGTTTGAATTTCGGCTGCTAAGCTGAGTAGAGATACATTGTGGTATACTGTATTTGGTGATAAGTCGTTACATATTCAGTCAGGAGAAACCGTTATACCTACGTTTTGTACATGTTATTGTGAGAACTGAGGAGTACTCAGCGTTGAAGGTTACTCCACGGTGACTGCTTAGTTTATGCACAAGCAGGTTATTTAACAAGCGAAACTAAAATTGCTTGAAGATATATAGTTGCAGCAGAAATTGCACACCTTCGTGCTAGATTGAACAGACTCACTGTCATTTAGTTCCCTGGGGTACCTAGACTTATTGAGTATTTTATATATGACAGTGCTTCGGGAATATGTGCCACGTGATATCCAGATTGATTCTTATATATGTCCATCTTAATAATCAGTCATCTGATTAACTTTCTCACTTTTATTCTACTCTTTCACCTAATAAAATGGAATCAAGAGATTTGCTGTTTAGAGTGAGAATGATTATGGCCTAGTGTTCCTAGAGCTGTTCTTCATTTTTTCGTAGATGTTGCATCACAAAGCTTAGTGACATCAACGGCACTAAGTTCATCACTAACTTCTACATAAAGCTGGTATTCTTCATTTATATCCTAATGATTTGTTGTTCGTGAAAAGCAGATAACTAGTTGGATTACATCCAACCTAATGGTGCTTAATTTCTACAACACCATGTATCAATAACATTGAGAGGAAGCTACCATAATATCTCACTGGTTTCCCCTGAAAATCAAGTCTTTACAAAATGATCACTCTGAAATGAAAGAAAATCAAGTGAAAATAGATTTTATGGTGTTAATTTTAAGATACTAAATATTTAAATAAAGTATAATGAGCTGTTCAATGTTATTGTTGGTATCAGACTTGGCAACATGAACCTATACAACATAGCAGTTCTAGCATATTTTTACGTTTATCCGTTTGGGCGAATTTTAAGCATTGAACTCTAACCAGATGTTTTTGGATAGAGGCAATCGGTAGGACTCGTCAGCAAGGCCTATCTGCAACCTTGACATGACTAGTGTTCCGCTTGAGATTTGAATACGCATCAATCAGTGTTGCAATCAGCAAATTTACCAATGAGCTATACAAACTGCGACTGACCTCCTGTAGAACCAGATTAGACACATTGATAAGTCACTTGAGAGCAACCAACTTCATGATATCTAGTCCTAGGTACTGGTTGCTGTGATTCACTCGAGTTCATCAAGTGACTCTGAATGACTTAATTCATAATTACTTTTTAATATCCATCATGGCTTACATCAAACTGAAATATTTCATGCTTAACTCATACTTACTCTTCACTCATAAAGAGTTTGGGTTTATCTGTTTTTCAGGAGTAAACTTCAGCATTTTGTCAATGATATTAAATACTGAAATGAGATGTCATTTACTCCAGATTTACAATCAGGAAAATAAAGATATGAAATGGTTTGAAAATTTTAAAACTGATTTCTTAGTTCCTCTTTACCTATTTAAATGCCGTCGGAATGAAAGGTAATAATAATAATGTTCACTTTTTCAGAAATCTGTGAGATTCTACATAGGTGAATGTATAGACATATGACTGTAATATTGTTTTGAAAAGCAAACCACAGAAAAGTCAACAAAATAACATCGCTGAGTCAATAATCATTTTTGTCACTTGGAATAACAGATTCCAAAACAAACCACAGTTTCAATTATATGCAATACCTTATTGTTTGGATTAATGGAAAGAGACATTTTTTTAACATACACAGCAAAATCTTAAATTTCTTTCCATTTCGGTTATTATTGTTTTCACTTGTAACGGTTATGTTTAAAACACTTTAACACATCATGAAACTATATGGTGTCTAAGTTAATTCCAAGTTGTATTTATATTCAGAGTACGTGTTGTGATATTATAGGTTTATTAGCATGGATGGACGTAAACTAGCAAATAGTTTGACACCAAGAAGAATCAGGGAGCTGTCATGTTGTTTTTTATTTACTATGTTTTTTATAAATTTATAAGCAGTGCAAATCTTTGACTTGACAGAGAGTCAAGTGTGGAACAGGAAGGCATTGTGGGGATTATATGCAAAAATGCACTTTAAGAAATTTGATTTCACTGTCGTATGGAATGGATTTTCGCTTATTGAAGAACGTACTGTTGATATTTTCTGTTGTTCCAGAAAATAAGCTGTTTGACTGGTGATACCTTAACATGACTAAGACTTAAAGGCAACTGTTTTGAAAATCTTACTCAATGTTCATTTATTTCTATTTTTTATTTCAAGTAGCTTTATTTAATCTCTTTAACCGTTAAAGATGGTAACTCTGATTAAAACAACGCTATTGAATCTGAATCTCCCACCAAATACAATTTGTGCTGAAGAGAGCAGAAAAACCTCAGTATCATCAACATGTAGACAGATCTTTTTTAAATATACTTTCTACTTACTTTATGACGTAAGGCTTCCAAATATGCAAGTAAACAGCGATATATTTGAAAATGAAAAAAATAATATTGTGAATTCTCATACCATTTCGCTGACAAAAGTCTATATGATCTTCGTTAATTTATGAATTGTGTAACTTATATGATATGGATTTCATTTTATCAAATTAGAAATTGTGTTTAACTGTCTAATATTTTGCCTAAAATTTTAATATTCCTAATTCGTCGAATGAACTCAATTATTGACATATGAAATGAAACTGTGTTGATTGAATCTTTTTTAATGTAAGTCTATATTCTTTAGTATACAGAGGTGTAAGAAAAATGATTATTCCACATAAAATGATATTTGTAAAAGTTACATATTTGAAACAATGTCTGCAAACAGGTAATTAAAAGCATTTTTTAACTTTTGTTCGCTCATTTTTTGAATTTAAAATTCTTTTCAACGGAAAGAGAGTTAAATCAAAAGAGACTTAGAGTAAATAACCTCAAACCCCTTGGGTTCGTGATAGATTTGATTCACAACCCAGTGTATTCTGAGAGTTAGACGAAAGTTGTTTCAAAGTATATTTTAATTCACATATGTTTATTTCCAAGTTATTAATCGTACGCTAGGTGTGTATGATGTCATCCACAGGTTAGTGAACATTGATAGAAAATCAGAAAACTTTTATTCACTGATTATCTACTACCGTCTGTCTGTCTATCTGTAAACAGTAACGTCATACTACTTCGTGACTATTTCATGTATATAGTGGACATTGAGGAACCAACCTATTGATCTATTTTATTATTCTCTAAAATCTGATTATAAATATATCCTAATAAATACTACTTCCTACTTTTTTAAAACATATACAAGTAGTGTTTGATAAGTTTTCATGAAATTGTAGTTGTTCACTGTTTTTGTGAACTTTAAATTGATTCACATTACTCTAAAATGTCACCTTATGTTGTAAATATTAATTTATGCCTCACCATTTTATGTTGCCAGTAATAAACTCAGTGGAAAAGGATGTATATAGATCGAGAATAATTGTTCATGTTTCATGTGTAAAACACTATCAAACACAGCCTCAGTTTTGTAGTCATCACATGTGGAAAAATGTTATCGGATATGATAACCTTTTCTCTGGAATGTGAGACTTGTTTTGCATTTGTATGTTAGCATTTTAACTAACAACAGATTCTTTAATATGTGAAGCCATCCAGTATCATTCGAAAATTATACATAAGCCAGGCATCAGCTATAGGTGGTGCAAAAAGTTGCGTTCACAACATTCATCAAGTGATAGATTTCTTAACCACTGATAAATTCATTTTACTAACAAACCACTTGACAACGTAAAGCTCTCATTTTTGCCTAGTACAAAACAGATTTTCAAAGCGGGACGTGAATACTTAATCCATTTTACCGTGTAATAGGTAGATGGTCATCGGTTAGATTTATTGCACGACAAGCCATCAAACTGGGCCCTCTACTAATCTGAGAGCATTTTATCAAAACTCATGCAGGCAAGATATCTGCTTAGTTGGATTTTGATAGTATGCTGGTATCTGTCTTGATCCTTGTTTTTCACCTACCCTTATGTTGTCAAATGACATATATTTTCACAAAATGGTATTCATTCTAATCACATACATAAACAAACTTCATACTCTTTATCTATTTGGTATATGTGAAGTGTTAACAAACATTGTACGTTATCGGTATAGTCATTCAGCATAAACAGTCCATCTTTGTGCAATGAGAAACTGACACTGTTTACCAATTAATGAACTAATGATCACCAGAGTTAAACCAGACTTTTAAACAGAATACCATCAGCTGCAGCACAAGTCCTTTAGGCATCACTTTGATTCAAAAACTAAGAAGAACGTCTCATATTTGGTGAAATGTAATTTCATTAGATCAGAGACAAGAAGGGAGAGATTTTACTACTGCATCGGGCAGTTGAGTATTCTTTTCAGCATCTATGCAATAGTATTCATGACACCATTCTTTACTGTGTCGAAAGTGTAAGTCACTCTCAGTTCAATGTTATCATATCCAATCCTGACACGTGGTTAAGGATAGTGAGAGCTTGAACACATTATTGAGAAATCGTGGCAGACTATTCACATGTCAATGTAGAGTAGAAAAGTGAGTAAATAAAGAAGTCAACATAATTCATACAAGAAGGTTAGCTTATGTCATGGTCCCCAGTTCTATCCAGTGATTTCGTAGAAGTCCCATTATGTAGAGTTCAAAGCTTTCAGAGTTACTGGTGTTTTTTAGGCAATAGTTAACCTGTTACTTTGCTTTTTTTCGAAGATTATTTAACAGGGAAAATATAGGTGATATATTTTCTGGTGTCATTACTTACTTTACACCCGAATATTAATTTACCAATGACTTCCAGCCAACTGATACTCGACTGCCTTTGTTTAAACAATCTGTGGATTAGTTTCTTGTCTACTAACTTACAAACAAAGGTTTCCCTTAGATGCTCTATGTGTGAAATTCAAAGTTGATTATTAAATCTATATGCAATTTAGTATTTATTTTCTACTACAAACAGTATTAGTAGCAGCCTTTTAGCTACTTTTGCATACGCGACATTCTTACAGAATGGCTATCGATCCGTTGTTTCTGCGTATCAGAATGAGTTTCATGAGTGGTCTAATACCCATTACAATTTACTACTTTATTCCTTTTGCTTTTTATTTCAAGGTAACTAAACATTTTAGTTGATAAAGACATTGTGTAACGATGTGATTATTTGAGTGCCAACGTGACCTAAAAGAAACTTCTTGGAATTTGAAACAATTAGTCCCTTTTATGAATTTGGATAATGTAATTAGAAGACGTAGATTATCTGAAAAATGTGATGTATTAGCGCTATACATTTCGAACAATCTGATCACACATTTACTTGTTAAGGCATTATATATGAAAACTGGAAGTGAGGGAAGGACACATATGACATAAAGGAATTCAATAATAAGAAAGATAATGAGAGGAATAAAAGATAAGACTTGAAGACAATCTTGGTAATACGATAAAAGTTTGTTGAGGCGCTAGCCATAAATAAATTTAACCCCCCATTGTGTGTGCAAAAACAGTTTGTCCTTACATTAGGCCTACCTTGGTAATGCTTATTTTATCGTATAACCAAGATTGTCTTCAAGTCTTATCTTTTATTCCTCTCATTATCTTTCTTATTATTGAATTCCTTTATGTCATATGTGTCCTTCCTTCACTTCCAGTTTTCATATATAATGCCTTAACAAGTAAATGTGTGATCAGATTGTTCGAAATGTATAGCGCTAATACATCACATTTTTCAGATAATCTACGTCTTCTTGGAATTACTGAGATATCTGTTAGATTGGGTGTCATGTCTGTTTCCTTGGTGTTCACTATTACCGTAGCAAAACGTGTTCTGGTTAGCATCATCAAATTTTGTAAGGTTAGCTACTTTCTACTTCATGAAAGACTTGTATCCCACATAAGCCCATGACTGACAAATGAAAAAAGCGTTTCAACGCAAAAATTCACAGAGCAGTATTTCTTATATATAACAACTTTCGTTGAACAGCCTTCTAAGATGTACATGTTGAATCATAAACTCTGGGCTTATGCGGTAAACCCTGAATATTATATCCACTTTGTGAAATGTCATTAGAGGTCACCGAGCAAGACGTATTTCCTCAGACCACATCATAGAAAGTGGTCTACTAAACGTTTACCCAAGCGCTTTGTTCACGTTGCATTGAGTCGAAAGAATGGTGTAATGATGAGTGTCTTACATATTGTCAAATACTTCCACCTGTGTTGCTATCTCTAAGGAGTTGGAAAAATTTCATAAGGTGCTTTCGACAACAGACGCAGAAAATAGCTTGACCTTCATGAAAACAGATACTTGCATCAAAATCTGTAATTAGCAAAATGGTTTAGTTTGGAAATTGTGAAATTCATTACCACCACGATAAAAAAGCATTGAAAACAACAGGTGGGATACTTTGAAATGTTTTCTTTTCATCTGCCTCTCGCATTTCGAGGTTTTTTTCCAAAAGTATGTCCGCTTGTTGCGGAACATGCATGGTGTCTTTCTCTTACTTTTTCGCCTAAAAGGAAACTCATGTATACGAATACTAAGATCACAGTTACTGTCTGCTTTGTGAACCGAAACTGTCTCGCATAAAAACTATTCAGCTGAAAACATGTAAAAATTTGAAGTGTTTATTTGAGACAATTATCTTTCTTCCAACAAGAACAAATTAGCTATTTGATACTATCCGCTTTATGATGATTCTCTTCAAATGGACTTAATCCACTACGAAAACCAACTTGGAATTGTCAGAAATTTATCGATCGACAATGAATAATTCTGTCTGACTCTTCGAAACGACACGATAAGGTAATTTCAAGTTCAGACCTAGAATGAACATGTCTAATATAACTACTTTTCATTGCCTAATCGAAAAAATATCGATACATATGAAACCTACATAATCATTATTTTGAGAGATGAAGACGGGTTTACAAAACAATCAGCAGTGTACTGCTGGTAAGAGGTTAAATTAACTGATTCCAACTTTCAGAAAAACGCGATCCGTTTGCTATTGACCTGGAGTTAGATAGGGTGATATTCAAAGATGCTGATTCTTCACCCAACATAAATTCCACACACCTTTCCGAAATATTGCTAATCCACTGGACGTGATGCGCTAATCACATATTTATTATAATAAACCTCATATTTTGTACATCGTAAAGAAACTGATGGAATTTCCTTGTTAATCTTGTTTTTCAAGATCCAGACAGAATACTTCCTCAAAATCAATTTAACAAATACCTGGTCACCTCGGCAAAGAATGGTTGTCTGTTTTGAAAACTAATGTCATGCATGCTTTAGTCTGGTGTCTACAGCATGTTGTTTTAATTTAATGACCGTTTTTAATATGACCTGCCAGTCTAGAACACGTTATTTTGTTGGAAAAATACAGCAGGCTGCAATTTAATAAGTTTGTAGAAGTTATAATTATCGGTGCCTGCTATGTTTACCTAACGTAAATCTATAACCGTTGACAAATAAAACGTTTAATGTCTACTCTTCCACAGTGGCTAAATTTTACACTTGTATTTATGAATATTCTAGTCATGTAAAAAATTCAACTTTCCTCTTTTATTAATAGTTCGATACCATAATATATTATCATGTCAGTAATGACAAACTGCTGGCAGAAAATTGTCTCCATCCTTAGACCTCAGTGAGGTCGTAATATAACCTGCATCTCTTTTCACTGACACAGTTTTCAAACAGGTCTATGAAATTTCTGACACCGTTTTTTACTGATGAACACACTAAATGCACCTTGACGATAAGTATAACCGTTACTATTTGGTTATACACCTGGAGTTCTTCATTGTTATACTGTATCAGTTTGTTCGACCTCTTTTGCCTTATTATCTCCGATGCGATGGCCTGAATGTTTATTGCAATTAATTATGATTACCAACAAATTGTAACAATATACAAGTTGTACAAGAGGTATTTATCGTGCCTCAGTGGTCTAGTGAATGACACTGCCATTTAGAGCAATGGGTATGAAGTTCGAGTCTTGGTGAGAACAACATCACTCAATGGGGTGCAGGTACATCCACCAACCAAAGAGTCCGAAATGGGACGAAGTGGGCGTCCTGAATTATTCTGCTAGCCACAACTAAGTAGACTTATCTAACTGACAGTCAGAATAATGGTTATTTTTACAGATCTGTTAGCCAAATAAGTTGATGGACAGATACATTCTCTTTTTCCGTCTTATCAATTAGATAAATACAGATAAGACATTCCATATTAAATTTGTTTATTTGATTTATCACACACAGTGACCTAGTATTATTTATTTGATGACGTTTCTAGCAATAATTTATGCTCGAAACGTCATCAAATAAATAGATCACTGTGTGTGGTAAATCAAATAAACAAATCTAATATGGAATTAATTTCTGCCACAGTGCCCAAGTTTTACACCTGTATTAACAGAGAAAACATCTTTTCTTAGCAATTCAACAGGCCTCGTGCACTAATGAAAGGAAAATATTATAGACAGATGTAAGCATACATCAGTGACATCAACTGAGATAACACTGGTTTGGTACACTTGCAACAATGATCATGAGGAGTGGTGATTGTTACCATCCCGCTGATCTACAAAGTGAGTCATGAGACCCAGCTACCGACCAGGTTTTAATTTCGCTTCCATCTTCAGTTGTTCGAACACTGAACCGGTTAATTACAAGTTGCTGATCCGAACCCTCCGAGATCCAATTTTTTATTTCAACTTCAATCACTACTCTATTTCAATCTATATATATATATATATATATATATATATATATATATATATATATAATACGACTTGCGGTGTTTTATTTATGAATCGTTTTTATAACTTCAGAAGATCACCAGATGATTACTTACCTGAAATAAAAGAACGATAACACCAGCAATAGCAGCTATACCTGTGTAATAACCAAGAATCGATCTTAATTTAGTCCAGCAACCATGCCTAACATTCGAGTTCTTCTCATTGAATTCACTTGGACATGTTGGGTCTACTATGACAAAGCTGGAGTCCATTTTACAGCATGCTATTGGATATTTCAGATCTATTTTTAAATATACAAAGAATTTCAAGTAAATAGCTGACTTTTGATTTAAAGAAGGCTTAGAAATCATCAACGGAACATACATCAACCATTAATACTGATCAAAATGTCAAACTTAATAATTCTATAACAGAAATATGAATTTACTGAGAAGATGGATATTAAACTGAACGGGCTGAAGATACTGATTTATTTTTTTAAATGAGTCTTATGTAATAACGCACTGGCAGTTTGAGGATTTATAGAATTGTCGAATAATATGAAGACTGGACGATTGATTATTCTATCAAAATAATTTGAAAATTGTCATGCAAAATGGAAATGTCATGTGATTCCTTATCTATCAAAATGCATTTATGATAGTTTTTTTTAAAGTACCATCTTGCAGGTGATAAAATCTGATTTTCATTTGGGCTTCTACTGTATATACTTAATGATTGATTTACTGACCAGAGTAAATAACGACATAATATTATTTTTGCTAATTCACTACCTGCAAAGCTAAGCGATAGCTTTTACAGTAAAGCGTACATTTTATTTTAGTATTCCTGCAAGCATAAAGAATTCTAGTCTATACTTACTTATTACTTTTAGAAATACTCAGTTCATTGTATATTCTATTTCATTCACACTGCCCTTATATGCTTTCTAAACCTTGTTAGTCTATTTAACAAAATTGTCGTTAGATTTGAACTAAGTTAATGTTTTACATAACGCAACAATTCTAAACTAGTCGCAACCCCAGTACAGCTGTTTCATTTATCTGACTTACTGAAATCTTACAGCCAAAAAAGTAGTCAATCACATAAATTTGTCTGCATCTATTTATCGTGGAATACTAGTTGCCTAATGAAACAAGGTGGCCACTAGATTTTAACCAACTAAAGTTAGGCTTTTATAGGTCAACCAAATTCGCAATACGGTTATTAGACAAAGACAAGTAGAAACTTTGGTACGCCTATGTATTATTTAGGTGCTTCAAATTATTCATAAAAACGCTTATAGTGTAGGTTGCCTGCTTACTGATAGTCATCACGTAATTCATTTTTTTACCGACTTTCAGAACACTGACGTTTGAAACCTTACCAGTGTCTGAAAGATTCACAACTGTCTGAATTTCGATGCTATTTGGTCACTAAATATTTATCTCGTTTTACATTAACACAAAAATTTATTTTTCTAAACTATTAATGCTTAACAAAGAACTTACCATAACTCTGTTGGTTGAAAATTACATTTCTTTGAAAATTAGGTGCTTCATCGAAATCGGATCCATTTACTAAGCCACAGCAGTTCAACTAAAATGATTAAGGGATATACATATATATGGTTAGCAACGAAAAAAAGAAGACGTAATACGAAAGTGAGAGATTAGTTGCATTTTTTGATACATCATCGATTGTTATCATCCCAAATATCGCATTTTCTGGCGATATATAATTAATGTTATCTAACCACTGTCATGAAATCTAAATAGGTGGAAGCATCTCTTTGGCTTGAGTAGATGGTTTGCATTCTGAATGCAGCTCTACTATAAGCAGTCAGAGATGGACTAAAGCTAGTTAGTACGGAATTACGACCCAACCCAGTTTCGTTGGCAGAAATGAGTAATGATCTATTCTTTTTACAGACGGGAAAAAATCGAAAGGTTACCTAAGATATACTGGTTTCATTAGTTACAACCACAATGAAACGCAATATAACATTTTTTCAGGGCTCTCAAACAACTAAAACTAATTTTATTTGTATTTTGTTTTGTAAAATGGAAATGAACTTATCAGTATTACTGAGAGGTTAGTGTTAGCTGTTTGATACCAAACAAATACTGTTATAAACTGACAAATTAAGTCGATCAATTTAGGTTCCATGACTAGAATTATTATTCATGCACTTCACATATCACGACGCTGGCTTCAACAACTATTATAAGACTTGAAAAGGTGATAACATTTGCACACGTGTGTCCACATATACATGTAAACTGATATACACAAGGGGATGTGATGTAATCGTTAATATGTTGTTTTGGTTTGTGACAACATGGACTTCGTCTTCTCTACAATGATGATCTTGGCTGCATAATATGTTTTGCAAATGACTGATTTAAGCCTTTTCCTCACAACAAAGCTATGTGAATCATCTCTAAATGGTAATTTGTCTTAGCAACGAATCACTGTGTACTTTTCAACGGTTCATAACTTTTGCACCTGTCGATAAATCTTGACGTCTAGCCATTCTGCGTCAGCATATTCGTCAATAAGTTGGTTTCTTCCTCCCTGGTGTCATGGGTGCAGATGCGGTTTATCCCACTGTGTTTATCAATTTACATGTATGTGTGGACACACATGCATACTGAGGAGTAACTGTGACATGCAGTTAAGGTGGCTTCAAAAACAAATGACCTCAACAGATCCGATAAGTGCAGATGACAAATGTCCATCTTCACGTATTACTAAATACATACTAGGAAGTAGTCACAGAGTAAATATGAAAACAGCTTTTAAAGTACTACATAAAAGTGGTCAGGACTGAGTGCTTAAATTTATTGCTCTTGTCATCCATAAATTCAAACACCATGCTTTATGTATACAAAAATAATTTGTACTCACGTTGAACCTACCTTGATAGTATTGATTTTAATTTTTATACCAAGAGTAACGTGATTAACGTTTTTTTCTTTCCCTATCCCTTCCTATTCCTAAGTATCTTATTAGCTTCACTGACCCTTTACGTGAATTTACACATAAATAGTTCTACAAGTTCGTGTGACCAGATTGCTCGAAATGCATAGCGCTAATACATTACATGTTTCAGATAATCTTCCCCTTCTCATTACGCTGTTAAAATTTATCTATGGGCAGTAATCACCAATCAATAAATATTATTTCACATTAAGATACTTTCCATCATTGATTGATATCACCAAGAGAACCACTGTAAAAGTGACGCCAGTAGACATCTGTTTCATCCAACTTTGAGATTACCCAGCAGTGGACACCTACAACTCTGAAAAGTTCAATTTCAAGACCGGATTTCTCGTGGTAAGCAAGTTACCATTTTTTCCGGGAAGTTGAAATTCAGTGGAGTATTAATTTCAACTTCGATCAGTTCATGATAATTCATAAATACCATCTGATTTCATCGGTCAGCGTTTGACTCATTTACCTGCTTTCTCATTAGAACCCTAAGAATTTCATCCTGAAGGCAGTGACTAATGAACACTGGAAAGTGATTCAATTAGAGGTTCATGGAGATTAAATAACTTCAAGGTAGTCTTTATTATGAAAAATGACATAAGTCGAAGAATTACTGAGAACCAGACAACAGTTGAACAACAACGACAAAATAGGTAGAAGTCGGGCCGCATTGTCAGCATGATACAGTCAAGGAACAATAAATTACTGAACGCATTTCTCTGTGAAAGTAAGTAGCGAAACCGAAATCGTACTATTGGATGAACTTTTTAAATACTCTTAATCTTCCTTGTTCATGTAGTGTTGACGATGAGATATAACTTCACTTCTATACAGCTGCTATTACTATTCACTCCTGGATTTAATTTTCTTTTAAAAAATGATCAAATATTACTCCATACTGCTTATTTATTTATGACCACTGCCTTTGATGTATATTTTTCTCCAACTGAAAAAGTATGTAATGAATCTGAAAGCACCCTAAAGTGCACTTAATATTGTTCTGTTAGTTACATGGTATGCACATACATACACATAAACACAACTCACCAATCCAGCTTGTAAGCAAACGAGGACAAAAACAATATAACACTGTACATTGGACATCAAAAACTGATTAGTCCTTGTTGGTTGACAGAAAAAGAGGAAAAGATTTCCGAGAACAGGGTTTTATTCCAGTCTAACTTGTTGTTCGGCAGATCTTACTTAAAATTCCTTGACTGTCTAATTTTAAAATGAAAGTCATGAGAATTTAAGGAGAATTTAGAGAACATAAAACAGCATTAAAACATACCGTTGGCATTAGAACTGACAAGATCATGCTATCTGTGTCATTGGAACTGATTGAATGATATTTAGTTAAGGATTCTTTGGCCAAACTTCGAACTAATTTGAACACCTTTTGACGTGGAAGAAAAGAACAAAATGATAAACAGAAATAAGGACTAGTTTTATCAACTTGAGAACAAGCACCGTTTTCGTGATAAGAACTGTCAGTGTTAAATTTTTGTTTATAAATTCACACTTAAACGACGAAATAATTCACGTTCTTTTATTGCTGCTACAGAGAACTTTCTTAAGATATTTTCTTCAATAAACAGTATGTTTTGTAAAGGAGCGATGGTCTATGTTGAAAACCTAGATTGAGTGATAAAAGAATAAGAATACATGAGACTTTGGACTATGCTTCTGACGCTGTACAACCTGAGCCACGAGACAGCTGTAGATGAGGTCATATATTCTCTTCAAATCTTGAGAGGGTTGTTTGGCTGTCATGAGTATTATTGAAATATAAGTCTGAAATCATCAACACCATAGTGAACTAAGGCTGCATAAAATAGGTAATATCAGTCTCTGTTTTACTCCAAATTATCTCCGTGAACAAAAATCCTGAATTGGTTAGTAGTCGAATTGGAGGTGTATGCCAGGGAACCTCAATCGTTAACCTTTTCGATATATGGTATCATATGAGTTGAAGATGACGACGGGCGTATTTGACTGCCACTGTAAAAGACCATGATGACTAGATAGAGCAGACATGCCACACTCAAATGCAACTTATTGACTGTATGACCACGGGCTCAATGTGCGTCCTGAAAAGCTTCAAAAAATCATCTAGACAACCGATAGTGAGTAGTACTAAGCAGTCTCAAACTAGAAAGACAAATCGTTTTAATGATATTTCACTCTTAGTAGTTTACGGAGAATTTCATTTCTCGACACCAAATATTTTGAAAAAGTAAAACGTGTGGACCATATAGATTTGAATTTCACCTTCAAACAGTGTTTTTCAAAGTTTTACAGCGATTTTCACAACAGTTTGGGTTTAGACGAGAAGCCATTGAAAACCTTAGTACTATGGGGAGTTGTTTCATCCAAGTTTGGAATCTTCACCAGTGCATACCACAAACACATATGCGGTTAAGTGCAGCAACGTCATATCTTACAATAACCACGTTGATACTCGACAACCGACTTTTGATCTAACAATTCACGTTTTTCAGCTTCTGTTAATTTTTGCTATGGCACAAAAACCGTTTAACGCCATCTGTGTGTAATAGTCTACAAACTTAACATATTTGCCTGAAGATCTATTGGCATCCCAGTAAACCCTCTCAGTCATAGATGTATCCAATGGAAGTCTCTTAAACGAGAAAAAAACCTATTTCTAGTGCTTTCCGGTTTCTAATGGTCTTGTACCTAACGTAAGTTTGTGGTAAAAGCTTCTTAGAATCTAGTCTGTAAGCAGGTGTTGGATGTCTTGATATCCAGGCTGTCTTAAAATACAGACATCTAATGTGAAACTCTGAAATGCATGTCATTTTGTTGGAACTGTTGTTCCAGCTTTACTTAAATTTGTTGGACGAAGAGAGTGTATGAACTTTGCCCAATTTGTTTCTGCAGACAGGTAACTGAAATATCTGTTAGCGTTAAACAGTGGTAGTCTTTTATGCCAATACTAGCGTGAATACACGAAGCCTGAAAGTGATTAAATTTTTGAACAAGCTCACTGGAACTTTGGAACCCCCTTAAAATCATTCTCTGAAAATGAATAATTGTCCACTGTTCATTAGTTACTTGTGTCATAATGGATTTCTTGAAATTCATACAAAAAGCTGTGACGTCCTCAGGCAAGAAAGTTGCTGGTGTGATCCTCCGCTTACTGATGGCAATAATCGATGGTTTCTGTATGCCACATATTAACGGAAGTTGGAAAAAGTAAGATTTTGTATCCCGAGTCAAGGTTGAGTTCCAACTTGCATGATACAAGATCTGACAGTCCTGCATTCAACCCAAAATGTGGTTGTGGTATGCACTAATGAAGATCTTTAAACTAAGATGGAGCAGCTTTTCGCTATATTTAGGTTTTCAATCTTATCTTGTCTGAGATTGATCTGTGATGAGAACTTTCTTGATTTCAATAGACTTTCTTTAAGTTTTCAAATTGAATAGTAGGTTGGGTGTAACATAAAATAATCGTTTTGAAGAAAAGATAACAGTAACTTAGCCTAAGTGAAGTAACAAAAATAAAATGAATAAAGCTACAATAGCTAATAATACAGTTTGTATATATAGACAGATTCGATGGGTTTTCTAGAGACAAGAATGGATGCAGATATTCTTCATACTGTAGGTTACTTAATAAATGCTGAAACAGACGTAAGAGAATTCTCAAAAACAAAGCAATTACGATGAGTATGGTTTTGACAGTGCAGTAGTGTGAAATCGAACAAGTACTAAAAGGGTATAAAGTGATTGGCAATGAAGGTTCATTAGCATTGTAGGCGTAGACTAACAACCGTTTTTTTCTAAATACATCAATTTGATTTTAATCACTTAAAAGACAACGAGATGCAACAATTTAAGTGTGCCTGGTTGTTAACTACTTCAAACAATTTCCCAATGTTGTTCTCTTGCCCACTGAGGAGAAACTGTATCTCTTAAGATTTGCTCACTTTTCACTCATAAATTCCTTCAAACATTCTTCCATACATTGTAACACACCCTTATCTAGATTTGTCTTGCCTGTGTACTTCGACAATTACCAGCCTATTGATATATTTATTCTGAGGCAACACAAAAATATAGTTGACAACCTTATGATGTTTCAGTGAGAAATTCCTATGATACTGCGTGAGTAACTTGGCTACCGGTACAGCATAATGCAGTATTTAGTCTCCAAGATACCTGATCACTTTTCAAGACAAGAGGTTGAAAGATAGGTTTTTTCTCAACAGCGCCTTACTCCCCACTTTTTAGTAGACGGTTTTAGTACTCAAAGATCAACTTTTGTGAATACCCATTGTTATAAATATACAGCGTGAAATTTAAATTGCTTTTTATATATACATATATATATATATATATATATATATATATATATATATATGACATTTCCGATATGAAATGAATGCATGCAAAGGCATCAGTGCAAGTTTTTTTGGCTCTTACCGCCTAAATTCTTGAACCATCAGTTTTATCCTTCTCATCTATCTGGGAAAACTATACTACTGGTAAAGGTTTAAGGTGATAGTCATCAACTTCATCTGTCGGTATAACTATGTTGGTCTACAATCTCCTAACTTAATCTACGACTTACGCTTTGATCAAATTACACATTTTCTGCCAAATTAGTGGATAATATAAGCGTTTTTAACAAGCGGTAATCAATAAAAAGTAGAATTTAAAGTAGTAAGAATTATTAGCTACATTATTTATCCTAATACTGTAGATTCTAATACTCAAGTCTTGACTGACACCGGTGATGTCTTAGCGATGACGTCGCACTATTTCGTCTACAAGATACAATCTAAACGTTTGTTTTTGAACAGATTCAAGCTGTGACACACTTGAGTAGTAGAGGACAGGGTAATCTCAAATAGATAAACTGAGTATGGCTTATACTCTGGTATGCAGATCTTTGGAGAACTGCTGATGTAAATAGTTATTCTAATATCAATTCAAAAAGGGTATCAAACAGTTATTAAGCAATGCATAACTGACTTAATGTAGCGATTCTACAGACTTTCAAGTTTAATATATAACAATACTATGTAAACAAGAAATGATCCATTTGGCTTAAATGTTGCGAAATGATGTTTCACGGTGATAATCGGCTAAAAAAAATTACATTAGTACTATTTACTATCATAAAATATTTACTTGAAATTGACGAGTAAAATGCAACAATCAAATATACATAGTAATTTTTGAAACTCATCAAAAACTGATCTTATACTCAGATACAAGTTTCTTTTGAGACTATTGATGAAGTATGTGTTCATTTAATCCGTCATTTTGTGAACTATCACTTCCTCTTGGTTATCGATAGCTCTAATACCTATTTGTTATTTGTTGCACTCCATGTAACATGCATCTATGCAATGAAACTGATGTATAAAATGCTTAACGTGTATTTATGCTGAGTGATGGTTGAAGGGGAAATAATAATGTAAGAGTAGAAATTAAGCACTGTTGTAGGGCATAGTTATATACTAGATTATTAATTATCCTGTTCGGTCAGTAGTTGGCTTTAGAAACACGCAGAAATATATTAGGTATTTACGTATTTGTCTGCAATATTATATTCCATTACAAATCGCTCAAAGTCGAGTTTGGTTGATTTCGCTGACTAGAAAATATGCTATTAGAAGAGTGGGATAAAAGTGATTTTGAATGTGATGAGCCAACATAAAATGCATTGCAGATTAAAAGATTTAATTGATCCAACTAGCTAAAATTAAAGAACCTATCAAATAACATGTAATGATTCAAGGTCACGTTAAGAGGTCAAAGCCAGACGATCGCGATCAGTTAGGATGGCGGGGCACGACAATTTTGCAAAAATTAGAATGATAGACTATACCGAGATAAGTAACAAAGAATAAAGCTCTGCTGTCGACATGCATGCATAATCACACAATGGGATAGGAATAGAATTATAAAATCTAGTATAGTTAGGTGGAGGAGGAGATTGTTTATAGAATCCTCAATCACTAAATGAACATCTAGTACAAATAACAGGGATGATTTATCATATACTGCAAAATATGAGGGAAACTTTACAATAGTTAAAATAAATGAATGGGTCGTTAGGTTATGTAAGTGAAGTTTTGGAGTCATATGATCACTTTGATTTGATAACAAGCAACAAATTCTATCCGAAACATCGGTCGGATTGAAATAAACACCCTTCGCTATATGTTCATTATACTGGTAGAATGAAAGATTAGTTCTGTTTAGTAATGAATTTTCCTTCATTTGTTGTAAATTCACCAATAATTAATGCTACTTCGTCATTCTATACTACACATTTTCAAGTTTATTTGTGCGGTCGTTACTTTTAATGTTTAGTGACCAGCTATCACTCTCTACGATTGCTTTCTAAATTTTCACTTACCTGCTGGTTGTTTTTCGACACCGATCGACTCGTTTTTACAGCCTAGTCTGCTTATATCTTTGCAAATAATAAAGGGTCAGTGATATTGAAAGCTTCCAAGTCTTTGGATTTACGTTTACAGTTTATAGTCAGAGAATGATTTGATGCTAGCTTTTGCTACCATTCTTGTATTAGGTGATAAATTTGTATGTGGGTTTCACAGAGACTGGTCAACAAGATATATGCGTAATCTTTAGAAGTATAACATCCTCTCAAAATTCACCTTATATGCTAAGTATCTGATCGACCAACATACATCATCGCTTAAAATATCACATTTGCACTGGTTATTACTCGGTTGTCAGCTATTCCACATAATCTAGCTCAATAACAGTTAGTCACTGACGGGAAAGTTTGGTGAGAAATGTCTAACTTCACCATTAAGTGATTCCAGTTGGAGTCTTTGGCGGTGGAATATAACCGACCTAGAATGTATGCCTTGTTTGTAAGTTCTTTAGTGATGCATTCACCTATCCTCCTAAAGATAAATTCGTCCAGCATGAATTATACTTACTTGGTAAACTTACGTATATTCATCTCGAAAACTCGACTACATTGACGGCAGCATCATTATTGATAAAAATAAATAAGTGAATATTTACTAGTGAAAACAAGTAATACAAACATGTAAATGCTTCAGGTAATATTCACTTATTTTGAATGAAGTCAGGAAATTCAAACTTACTGATTCTCGATCAGCGTAATAGAAACTCATTGATGTGATTTCAATAATGACTAGAACCAACAGTAATCCAATGTACTATGAAACAAACCAGAAAGCATATCGATAATACGTGATCACAGTTGAATAGTCTGATGGATTTATTCCTCAAGTCCAATAAAAATTGTTTATTTCTATAATTTCTTAACAGGAAGTTTAAACTTCTGAAGTCTTGATGTTAAATATTAGGAGTCACTTGGTATAATATCCAGACTGACCTAGATATATCGATTGTTGATTATCATCAGCAAAATGTATATGCAAACAGGTGTAAACTGGAACCCATCGATGATCCGAATCTTTGTCAGTCACTGGTAAAGTTAGAGACTTTACCACCAGACAATGTATACAACGATTAATCCCTTACCGTTTAATTTAAGCCTTGGTTTAGTGTTTAATCTGTTTGGCGGATTAAATTGTTCGTAATATCCTTTTAAGATTAATCTAATAACTATACAGCAAGCTGTCTCAACATCCCTGGAAAGCAAAATGTATACTTGACGGTTTACTTCAATGTCAACTTTATTGCATGGTATTTAGCCAACAAAGGTTTGCTCTTCATAATTCAAGGTTTTGTTTTATTACGTACAAGGAATGTATAGTCATAAGACCTCAAAAATCTTAGCATGATAATAGCATTCACAAGATGATATCCCCTTAGAATCTGCTTAGCCTCTGTGTTGGGATTATACCTCAAAATCTAGTTAAAACAGATTATAGAAAACGTGTATCGTTTTATTGAATACGGAATAGCTGCAATATTCTATCATACATTAAGATGACTTTTTATCCTAGTCTTAGCTCATGATCACTTGCCTTCACCTGAAAAAGTTCGAAATGCCTTGTGTGGGAAATCTCCTACGCACAACAACGATTCGGCCACTGAAAGCTCAGTGTCAGATACCCTTCTCAACATTTTTACAATAGTCATTATGAACTACGTATGAAATAATATTTTTCCTAATATTTTAATATTTACTTGGCAAATTAGACTGTTAAGTAACTTTACTCCGTGATTGCACAGCAGAATCGGAGGAATTTTACAGTCTCTTAGTAATGACTGATTAATTAATCAAAGAATATTTCAGTGATGCCGTCTCCAAGCTATGCAGTAAGCGATTCTGATTTTATTATTACTGAGCATCAATTCTCTAGAGAATATATATGTGTCCAGCTGATTAATTACATTCAACTTCTGGTTCACTCTACTAAATCATCCAAAATCTATCGTTTCTTATTTAAGCAGAGGCTGTTTTCATGAATGTATTTGTCAAATGTCGTTTATTGTTTAACTATAGGTTTTCACATTATTTTATCCAAGCATGGTTTTAGTTTTACCACCGATAAGAAACAGGTGTTTTCGAATACCTACAAACTGTCCTTTTCATTGACATGTTTTAGAAATTCAGCTTTTTTTGCCACACGAGCGATTGGCAGTGACACTGTCTCAATTCTCTCTACCTGCTTATTAGATTATTTTCCCATCTGACCAATTAGTGCATGATATGCATTATTCTTCTTCTGCTTACTGAAAGAGTACTGATTTGAACGTATATCTTTTAAATATTTTATTTCCAAACATTTTGAACCATTTTAACCGACTTGTCAAAACGTTTATGTGAGATATTTTATCTATACTGCTAACTGATATCCGCACGCCTCCAGTGACCTCTGTTCTCTGAGATCTTTTGAACCTGGTTCCACGACGCCCAGAAGCTCTCATTTCCTCCTCGCATGACCTCCTCCATGTCACCTCGGACGTCCAACTCGTCGCTTCCCATGGATTCCACTCGAGGGCCTGACCGTGATGTCCTCAGTGGCCTTCTCAGTGCATGCCAATCCATCTCCACTTCTTCCTGCATATTGTTGTGATAGGTCTTGGTTGCTTCGTTCCCAGAGTTCCTTGTTGCTTATTTTTCTGGCCATCTGATCTTCAGCAACGAGCGTAAGCAGTTGTTGATGAATGTCTGTAGTTTATTGGAAATCCTTCGTGGCGCGCCAAGTCTCTGAGCCATACAAGAGCACTGACTTGACGTTGTGTTGAAAATCCGTATCTTGTTCCGCATGCTGAGTGCAGAAGATCTCCACACTGGTTTCAGGCTAATGAAGCCTGTTGCTTTTCCGATTCTGACTTTGACGTCCTCGTCCGTCCCGCCTGTAGTTGAAACAGTGTTCCTAGATAAGTGAAGGAGGTTACTTCCTTCAAGTTTCTCCGTTGACGGTGATTGGAGTTTGTTGTTGTTGTGATGGTGGTGTGCGGTATCTTCATCACTTCTGTCTTCTCTATATTCACCTGAAGTCCGTCTGCCCTCTTCTGTCAACTTGTTAGTTTTTGCCTGCAGATCTTCAAGTTTATGTGACATTAGCACAGTCATCGGCGAAATCCAAGTCTTCTAGGTTCTTTTCGTCGTCCAGTGTATCCCCTCTCTCGCTGACTGTTTGCTGCATGATCCATCCACAATAAGGAATATCATGGGGATAGTAGGCAACCTTGTTTCACCCTGTCTTCACTTCAAAGGCATCACTGAGCTTCCATTGTGGATTACTTGGCATGTGGCATCTTCATATAGTTGTTGAAGAGGCGGATAAAGGTTTGCGGTACTCCGTAGTTGAAAGTTTCCAATTACTTCTCGGTCGACGCTGTCAAAGGCCTTCTCAAAGTCGATGAAGTTGAGGTATAGAGCTGATTGCCATTCTACGCTCTGTTCTATGATGATACGAAGCGTTGCAATTTGGTCGCACATGATTTGTACTTCCTGAAGCCTGCCTGTTCCGGTCGCAGTTTGAATCCAGTGCGTCTTTAAGCCTCTCCAGATGATGCGGCTTAATATTTTACTTGGGGTGGACAGGAGAGTGATTCCGCGCCAGTTCTTGCAACACTGAGCTCCCTTCTTGAGTTTGACAAGGTAACCTTCTTCCAATCTTTATGGCGTTCAGGACTTCCATTTCGTTGGGGATTTATGTTCACTTGTAATTCAGCGGCTGCAGGTGGTATTCGACGAAGTGCAGGTGGTGGTCGATTCAAGAGCTTCTTGAAGTGGTCGGCCATCGTTTCCTCTGTTTCTTTTTTTTAATTAAATTTCCTCTTCATCTTTATTGGTTTCATCTGTGTTGGTCTCTTCCCTGATAGCAACCTGGTTATTTGATACAATGTCGTCAGGTCTCTCTTACCTGCAGCCTGTTCTGCTTCACTTGCCAGTGTCGTAGAAGTGTCTTTGTCTTTGCGTGCACTTCTTCACTTGTCAGTGTTTTATACATTGTGCTCAGTTCCTCTTGTCGTTGGCATCCTTGCACTGGTTTATCTTCTGCTTCCCATCCTCCTCTCCCTATCAGCTTCCAGTATCCGTCGAGATTTCCTTGTCTTCTTTCTTCCTTCCTAATACGGCTGTGCAGGTTTCTTTCCACATAGCTTTCAAAGACTTCCAGTGTTCTTCACACAGGTTTCTTCAGGGATGTCCCTCGACGTCTCCCATTTTGTCTTGATGGCTGCTTTGAAGATCTCCTTTGTAGTTTCATCCTTCAGTTCCGAGTGTTGTACTTGAATTGAGGTCTATCACAGCTTCCTTGAAGGCTTTTAACTTGATTTGGAAGGTTCCTTTTTAGTACAACTCTTCAAATCGTAACAATGGTCTCCAACATATAAACCATTCTTTGGTCACAAAACAGATAAATGTAGCCAATAAATCCGTTGATTCAAAGAAGCCTTCGTCAGACATTAATGTCAGTTTGAAAAATTCTTTAGGTTTAAAATTTCTGTATGGGCATTTCTTTCAAGGCTGCGACCTATGAGCAGTAAACAACCTAAACTTAACGAAAGATGAAGTCCAGGGTCATCAGATTTTTCAGCGAGAACTTTAAAGTTGAGCTACTGGATCAGAATTCTGCGGTCCATTATTTCCCAACTCTCTCCAATTAAGATACAGCATTATCATCTAATGTTGTCGGTTATCAAGTGTCTTTACTTTCAGTTTGATAAAAAAAGTCCCGAACTTAGAAGAAGCAACTACTAAAAACTCTCAGGTATTCAGTAGTTTTCAGAATGTTATCAATCGGCAAAAACTACTTTTAGGTTAATCAATCAGTTGTAACAAACCACTAGTTTTGCTTATTAATCTGTAAATTTAAAACAACGCAGTTTTGATGGTAGTGTTATATATATTTTAAACCTACCGTTTTAAGACAAGCACGGCTTTTGCAGCTTGTACCGCAGAAACCAAACAGAGAGATAGCCAGTGATACAACACCCAAAATAAAGAATACGAGACCAAAAGGACCTTAAAGTCGTAAGGTAAGTAATAATGAGTGATTATTGAAAACTAAATTAACGTATGGAGACAAAAATGAACCAAACTGAAAGTCGTCACATATATGCTATAGAAATGAACATCCGTGGTTTGCTGTACTATTACTTAAACTAAACACATCTTTTATATTATTGCTTGTATTATACCGTCGTCGATGGGACCTAATTGATCGGTCTCCATAAGCAAACGGGCTCCTGTGTGGATGCCTCGATGATACCTGTATTCTAATCACAGTAACGATGGGAAGTGGTTAGCAGTGGAATCCTGGATAAACATTTCGTCCTATTTGTGTGTGCCGTTGTTCCCAATGGGATTCAAACTAGAGACTGGTCGCTTCAAACTCCAGAGCGTTATCCACTACACCACACATATTGGATTCTACTGCTAGCCACTACCCATCGTTACTATAAACATATCTTTTGTTGTGAACATGTGCAATAAAACTAAAGATTGTTGCCAACATAAATAAGAAGGAATCATTCTATATCATCGTGGTATTCATACTTTTCAAAAAAGTCCTTTTGAGATAGCGGCTATCGTAACTCAGCGGACAACTATACAAAGCGGCCACTTCAATATGAATATAGCGAATAAGTAACGTCTAAAATGTTGGCCATTAAATATTAATGTCTCACTGTGTGATACATCAAATAAACAGACCGAAACAAAATAAAAGTCTATCACAGAATTCATGTTTTACTCCTATTTTAAATGTATTCTATTTAGTTCCACCATGATGCACAGGTTAACGGTGATTTCATTTACTGTATCTGATCAAATTATGCCAATATTATGAGTAATTCAAAGTCAGTTACAGTCACATGAGACAGGCTAGGTGGATTTAAATGAAATGTTAGATGGCTGCTTTTTCGTTTTGGACTGGTTTTATCAGAAGCGTTCACGTATGTTAGTACTACGTTGGTCTCTTTGTAAAATGGATAACGAGTTCTGCTGATGAATGAAATTCCTAATTAATTGGCCACGCTGTCCAGTTATACATTCCTTTAACCTCTGAGATTTTTCTATTAATTATCAAAATAGTTGGTAGGATTCGACGGTTCCTAACTGGATAATGTAAACTTCACAGTCGACTGTTTGAAAGACCACGCAAACAGAGAATGCAGAGGTGGGTAGTTCTCTATTTGTAAATGATTGGCAGACCAACTAATATTTTATGATGAACGCAATTCAAACTTTAAAAACTTGTTCATTTCTTATAGTCCGACATTTTTGGACTTTATTTAGTAGATAAGATAGATATACACCATTACAACCAGTGTTTATGTTGCTTCTTTTCATATAAGCATGAAATAATCACTGAATCTCGAGAGACAAATACTCCATCCATTTTAAACAAATACTTCACTTGTCTGCATGAGTAGTTTCCCAATGAAGTGAATACCTATTGTTTCATCATATTCATAGATTCGGTGTATGAAGGATAAACTTCCACTTTACGCCACCTCCACGAGTGTTTATCAATGCATCTTCTCTCGTGAAGCCGGTTGTATAAGCCACAAAAAGCATGTTCTAGCCAAATGCATCTCTGAACAGTATCCTATATGGCTCTCTAGAGGAGGGCGCCATGCCATGAATGGCTAGATTCTTATGAATCTTTGGTTAACTCTCGTCACCTCGTTCAGTTAAAATCTCTTTCAAATTCGTCTGTAGAATCCAGTCAAACCTTTCTAAGGAAGTACGTATTCGCCACCTCAACAAAGTAGACGTTTCGGTAATCCATCAATTCAAACTTGATCTTCACGTCCAAAGGAAATACATTCAATCTCTAATTTACCCTGGTCGTAATCTCCCTAAAACATTTTGTCCATTCCTTTGTTGGTTAGTTGCTGGTTTATTGTAATCTTATAAGCTACTTTAGCCGTTATTACCTTGTGACTTAATTGGCTTAACTTATTGTATTGACCCATCAGCTGTTGATATGGCTATGACCTGGACTGCATAGTTTTTGAAAATGTTTCGTTGAAACGAAATTTTTCTACTCTGAATTACCTCCTTCCAATTTTTTATTCAATGGGAATGTTTCGGTGCATTTCCGATTATCTAGACTATGCACAAAGGAAACTGGATACAGCATACCAATTGTCAAGTAGTGCCTAAAAGCTTTCGTGCGGTGACAATTATGTTTGGAAATAATAAAGCGATATATTATTCAACGGAATTTTAAAGTATCATGAAGCAGTACTCTCTGACTGACATTTAAGTGTATACATCTTTTGTTTCATCCAGGTTTCAAATACATCAGTTGTTTATAAATACTATTCTTACATATATGCTTGTTGGTGGTGGTCAGCGTTGCGAATATCTAGTTAGTCAACAATAATAACTTACCTACTGTACAAACACTAAAACACTAATATATCCCTATATTATGTAAAACAAAATATAAAATTCCGATAAATTTTACTTGTAAACTTTAATATATTCGATGCCAAACCCGTAAAATCACGCGCCACTTCTTCACCATACAGTTTATATATCAGTGGTCCAATAACATCGTTTAATACTTTGGTTATATCGGATTTTCCCCAAGTTAAAATTGCACCAAATGCAGTAACCACTATGGCTGACATCTACATATATTTGAAAAAGATTATTGTGTTAGATTATATTTGCTGTATTAATAATGACATTTCTGTTCTTTGATTGCATATGCCACCTCTTAATATAATGCATCTACTCAAATTGTTTCATGTCTGATAATTTCTACGGTAAATATAACTAGAATATTTGCCAGCCACACTGAGGAAGGTAACTAGTGTCATGTAACTAATGATAACTTTAGTTCACTGAATAAAAGTTTATTGTAATAAGTTGGTTTATTTCACAATGCATATAGTTTTCAACGATACAGAAAGTCATAATGCTGTATAGATTTCTACATTAAAGTGTAGGATAGTCAGTCTCTGGTTTGAACATTTACACAAAACTCCTAAAGAGGCTGGTTTATTCGTCTGTTTAGTTATTTAAGTCTGTACACTGAGATATACTACATACTTTTAAAGTTGATTCATGTCTACTGAAAGAAAAAAGAAGGCATGAATTGAGGATATTGGACTAAAAAATAAACTATTGGTGTACTGGTATAACTGAATTGATTTGATAGTAAATGATAATTACGTCTGAAACGAAAAATATAACTTTTCCAAGATGCTAGAAAACTTAATATTTCAACTAAAACAACATTTAATCCCCTGTAGCAACTAATCAGAAACGAAGAATAGGGGGTTTTTCTGCGAAATTTACTAGCTTACATATATTTTGGAATTTTAAGTTAAATTTATGAAGTTTTACCATAATGTTCTTAGGAAGTCAGAACATTCAGAATGAATCACACAAACTAATTGACATCTTTTATGATGACATGAAGACAAGTATGTGAATCATACGATAGGCAATACTAAAGGAGATAAACCATCTTACAACTGTTCACGTTACTCATTAGCATACGTTACAAAAAGAAACAATGTTCAAAGCCTCCCTTAATGACCAATTTGTAATAGAAACAGACAAGAAAGCAATTGCAGGATGATGCATTTTTCCTTCTCTTCCACACTGGAAGAGGAATTTTGAAAAGATGAGCCACCTTGGTTAGCAGTGCTTATCTTTTTTATACTTTACATTTATTTAATTTGACAGTAAATATTTGGCTCCGTGATAAAGTACAGTTTCATGTTGATTTCATGAATATAACCAAAGCGAAGAGGAACAGATATGAAGAGTAAATTGGTGTTATTTTATTTCATGGACATTTATTAGCTACATACAACTTGAAACTACATATCTTTGTCAGGATAAATCACAACTTATAAATTATCAGATCGACAGCTCTGATCTATAAAAAATTTTTAAGATAAGTAATGTTCATAGGAAAGGGAGTTGCTAGACAATTGAGAAAGAGCTTAGAATTATAAATATTTAGAAAAAATCGGAATAAATTCCATAAAAACGTACTAGGTAGAGTGGAATACGTGACGTAACCAACATTAGATTGGATCACAAGGGTAAAGAAGGCAAAATCACAGCCTATTTTTGGATCCAAAGGTCAGGTTCGAAAAGTCTGATTGTAATGGATTGAGAAAGGTTTAATAAACTTGGGACGTTTTCTTTACTTATTATCCGCAAAACAAAATGACATTATTCTATTCTTCACATCTTTTCCCTATTGTTTTGTTCGAATATCTAATGTATTAAATAGCAAGACAATAGTTTTTTTATTGAATGGTGCTTCAAGCACAGTTTATTGCAAGTAAGTGTAAAGAATCGACACTTTTTGTGAAATAAAATAACTCGAGTATCTCCACCGAAAACGACATTCACTGAGTTTTCATCAAGTCATGGACTTTACTTTAGCTTTTCAAATTTACTTTCTTTTTTCCTTTTTCAAAAATTCCAACCTGGCAAATTACTCGACTTTCTAGAGAAAAGAAGAGGTGGAAGCAAAATCAGTATAAATAAGAGAATAATTCATCGTCGAACATCTACCTCGCTTTGAAATATAGCAATTTTTTCAACAGAATCGACAGCTGAACTTACTCTCGGAGATATAAAAGTCTTCCGTCATTCCATCACAGCATGGAACATCGTTATCAAAGCATAACTTTCGAATACGAGAGAGTAGTAACGTAGATAAGGGTCCTATATGTCTAACTGAATAAACAATTAACTGACCTGTATAGTTTATGGCGAAAGATGTAAACTCCTTTGAGACTGGTGCACATAATTTTAACTAAATAGCACCATTAAAAGAATTCTCAGAAAAGTGACTTTTAAGTTCAACATAGTATGAAAACCCCAAAAATCAGGTTCATTTCAAGCTTCTTTGAGGATTAACTCATCAGGTTTTCTCGGGCATATGACCAGGTCTGCTGTACTAACAAAAACCCAAAACATGACACCGATATGAGATTTTGTTAACTAATTAGAAGTATGCAGAGTTTATTCTTCTAGAAAATGCCGAGAAATGTACCATGATACTAAAAGCTTCCAAGCGACATTCTGTAGTCTCTCAGGATCGGTGACTTTTTCGCTTGAGCTGTTACAGCCAATAATTTCTAATCAAGTCTGTTCACTAGTACAATTTTAAATTTTGTCATGCACATACTGAAGAATTATTTTTTCCGTGTCTCAGGGGATGATTTGCTGATTAAGAAAGTCTATTCAAACTGGATCACTTTAAATGAAGTTAGTTATGAAAGCCGTTAAAGAAAGTGTGAAAATATTTACCCTACCACATAAATCGGCTAATGCTCATGGAATTTCCTGTATCAAACACTATTTAGTTGACAGGCAGGCAACTGCACCTGTTGTAACCACTTCAAATATCCTACATTTCTACCTCCAGTGTCTGTCTGAATAACTAGGTAGACGATTACCCAAACATTCACGAATATTATCGCCTTTAGAAAGGTTTACATGGATGACAGAAAGTAAAGTAGAAGTGCAATTAAATGTATGGTTTCAGTAGCAGTTGACCCACTAGAATATGAAAGGGAACCGCCAAATATCCTTGTGGCATATTGAACTCATCAACAAACTGTCTACTCGAATTTTTAGTGCGTTTTAAGCCAGAAGTAGACCACCAGTAACTTCAAGAAAGCCACAGAAAAGCTTTCTAAGTGGAATCCATTTCATGTTACTCTGAATGAACGCACCACTGAAAAGTTAACTGATGACTTATTAATTACAAAAAGAACATGAAATAAAAATTATGAATAAAGTTTCAACTTACTGCAACCAATGAGTTTACCAGTAGCAACGACGCTCTCATCAAAAAAGTGCACATTTCTTTCCGACCTGTTTGTTCCAACTACAAAGAATAAACAAAGTTTGGTGGTATCTTACACATTAACATTCAAATGAAAGTTATGGCAATTTTCACCAAGAAATATTTCACTTGTAGCGCTTTCAAAAGGTTGCATAACCAGGCAATTATTCAAGTCAGCATTTTCTTCTTTCTTCAGGTTTGTTGATTACTGGAAACATTGTTTTGTATATTTGATTACGTATGTGAATTCCAGCATCGAATTAGATGCCAACCTTAACGGCATAGACAAGGAATATCGAGATCAATCTCATGCATGTTCCGCTACATGTGAAACAAGTTCGGGCGTCTCTGAGAAATAGATCAATATGTAGTGGGGCACAAAGTGCCTGAAATTCTTGATTGAATATTATCTCTGATACTGTTCACGGTCAATCAAAAGGGGAAAGATGCATTCACATTTTGAAAAGGACTGATTGAGCAAAGAAATGTATTCCTTTTCAATTAGGTCTTCATCTTGGACTCTACACTAATATATAGTCTTACAATTTAATCAAATTACCAATCACGTTGTGATGTTATGGAAATAATGATGTAAGTAATCAATAGAGTTACTAAAATTGGAGCTAACAGAAGTTGGAAATATGGACCATTGGATTCTAACCCAGTGGCTCAATGGTAAAGTGCTGGCTGCGGAACCTGAAGGTCGTGAGTTTGATCCCTGGCGGGGTCATGGGTGCGCACTGCTCAGAAGTCCCATACTAGGACGAAACGGCTGTCCAGTGCTCCCACGTTTCCTTTGTTCCTGCAACCGGTGTCAGTCTACAACGAATAACTACTTGAAATATAAAACAAGCTTTTCTTTGGTTTCTTTAAACAGTTTAGGCATATGTAAAATGTTGGTCTTTATATCCTCTCTTCTTTAATCAAAATCTAAATTTTATTATATTAACATTTTTTGTGGATTTCGTTCTGCGCGATCGCCATGTATACGAACATTTAATGTTAGTCAGAACAAGGTTATTCTGAAGTTTTGGAAAAGGATATAAAAGAAGAGAACAGAAAGTAACAATAATGATATGTTTACAAATGTGAAGAGAGTAAGAAGTGAACGTACCTGTACGACTTCAGTTAACTTTAGGCCATAACAAAAATGATCTCCAACCGGCGACTTACAGCACCTCGAAAAACCAAGTGGGACAGAATACAGTTTCTTACGGGTTTCGAAACATACACATAATCATTTTAACTCTTTAGTCTCATCATCAATGAATTTCTTCTAGTTTATATTCTAACTGTCACTGTGTCCGGGAAGTTGGTGGTTGCTAATTGGAGTACTGACTAGCTGGGTAACGTAAGGTCTCTCGACATCACAATATGACACTGGAATCTTGTCATATGCTGATGAAATGAATATCTATTACTGAGTGACAATCTCAAGCTACATTTTCCACATGTGTAATACAGTAATATTTTGCAATGTTGTAACTATAACGATAACAGAATGGTTTCAAGTGTTATTCTGATCACTATTGCAGTGATATACGATTATACCAAAACAGTAGGATGTACTTAATTTTTTTTCCTGTTTAAGAGATTAATAAGATGTATTTTTACCGGTAGTAATATCTTAAGACTTTCAATACTTTGGAAAACATTTTTTCAAGTTTTCTACTATTATCCTGTATTTTATATATATGATACCTTATATATAAATTTTAATACAGCTAAGCCACTTAAAATACTAATTCTTCAGTGACCAGCTAATTCTTTTGATTAGGGGTTTCTACTGCGATACCAAGTTAAATCATCTGTGTTTGCTTATTATATCTTTACTTTAGCCCTTCTGTATTACAAATCTTTAAGAGTCATGTATGTCCTACACTACCCAAAGTGTATCACATTAAATTTAGTAAAATTTGTATGTTTCACTGGATACCTAGGCAGTATTGAAGCAGAAAATTTATGTATAACCTGTTCATTTTATCCCTATTAAGTGCCAGTATTCAAATAAAAAACATGTAAGCGCCTGGTAGCCATCACAGTAATAATCTTTACGTTACTGTTTCAATTTTTACTTCAGTCTTCAAACTGACAAAGTGGTTTGAAGTTTAGTTGCATTACATTATCATCTTATTGTCCATAACCAATATTTCAAACAGATCTTAGGTGCCAAGCAACTTAGTGACTTTACTTGTGTACATTTATACCATATATTCATGTTTATAACTCTCTTCGTTACAATGAAATGGAAAAGAAAACGAAGTACAATTACTTGAGTCATTATCTCTATTTTTTAAAACATTTAACTCATGACATTCTTTTGATAAAATACAACACATTTTATGATTTTGTGTTTGATACCCTGTTTATTATTATTAACATGCGTCATTCCACTGTTTATATGAAATCGTTCATCTTACTTCATGATTATGTGGTTTGTGGGTCAATAACTCGTGATTCAGTTTCGAATCACTCAAAAAATATCAGTTTCCTCCTAATTGTAGATATGCCTTATTGTTCAACGCCAACAAGTATGTGAAACTTGCTTTAGGCAGGGTTTCTTGCCATTTGACTCCAAACACCTTATATTATATATATATATATATATATATATATATATATATATATACTGCATGACAAATGAAAGTTACGTGATATGAAGTCAAGAGGTTGATTTCGTCGAAAAATTTTTTATTCGCTGCAATCATCTTCTGCATTTTCCTATGACCAAAAACGTTTGTTTCGATATCTGATGAGTAGCAGTCTTAGTAAGTGAAAGGTATAAACAGCATCATCGTCATATCTAATCCTAATAGCACTTTTGTTTTTGAAATAGGTGAAAGAAGTCAGATTTTCATCAATTCCATTTTGACACCTACAGTTAATTATTTCAGAGAATGTTGTTAGCCAAATATATATCCTAATATTGTGTACAAATGTTGTGGTCTTGGGCATCAAATACACTTCATGACATAGAAAACGAGATTTTTATAGAATGAGAAACCCATTTCATGATTAAAATTCTTCAAGGTGTTTCAGATCAATTCTTTCGATCATTTGAAGATTTGATGGATCAAAGATAAAATAAACCGAAATTCCTTTGTGTCAAACTCAACGTACGCAGGCCCATATTTAAAAATGAATAAAAAGCAGTCAAGAATACGTTTACTTTCCTAGACAAACTTCAGAAATGCAAGGATAACAAGTGGTGTAATTCACAATGGCACTACTGAATCTCATAACCTTCTGTTAAGCTGTTTACAACCTAATAAGATACATTCATAAATATACTGAATAAATATTGGCCTTCATAAGAAGTTAAAGAAGGGAGTACAAACGCAAAGGCAAAATTCAAGATAGTCTAGACAACGGGTTATTTATGTAATTCTGGTGGTATCATTAGACTTTCTAGTAATCACCACCATAGGTTGTATTGGTTGTATTGTGTTCTCTGAGAACACAATACAACCAAGACCATCCACCTGAGCTACAAATATTCTCCATCATAAGTTGTATTAGATAACTTTGACTTATTTAGTGGTATGAGTCAAGTTTATTTAAGCATACTGATGACAGGTGCAACTAAATGTCAATAAAACAACAATTTGATTAATAATGATGGATAGTGGCTAGTAGTAGAATCCAGGATGCGCATAACACTAATTTGATATATGCTTCGTTTTTATTTATCCGTCAAAATCTGTAAATCACTCTGATGCTTTTCTAACTATATTTTCAGTTTTTTTCATCCGATAAAGGATATATTGATCCGGTATTCGTACGTGTTCAGTGAATAACACCGTATTACGCTGTGTATTATTTAGTTTAAGACAAACAATACTAAATAAGACTGCATTGTACAACAACGCCGAAGTACTACAACTGCATGAATGAGTTATTTGTAACTAGTATTTTTCAACAATGTGTTACAACACATATAAATGAATTTCAGAGTGAGTTAACTGCAAACTGTTTATGAGCCTGGGATCCCCTTGACAAAATCTTATCCCATAAAAAGTGCAAGAATGGATAAACACTCACAAATAAGTAAAGCAGCTTGACTGTATAAGTGTATCTACAACTGGCGCAGCAAGGATACCATGACAACTGAGCAGCATTGCATTTCATTTTGTATACTTCTCTTTTATTATAATGACTGTGACCACTTTTCCCTTTACTGAAAACATTTGACCCATATACCACCGTTTATTATGAATTCGTTCCTTATTCAGTTACCCCAGTTTTGCATGCTTCTTTGTACTGCTTTTGTACTTCTTTGATGGCACTTGTCCTCTATCTGACCACCTGTAATCATTTCATTCCTTGTTCAGTGATCCATTATCAGTTGAAAAATACTTCTTGGCTTGTACATGCCTTGTCCATATGTATGCAGTAGTCTCAACAAAGTTACAGCAAACAGACAACGGTATGGCAGTTCGATTTTCTTTGGCCATAACAAATATACCTGCTCTATTCTTATTTAACTTTATCACAGACATGCTAATGAGTATCTCTCTCGTAGTTTTAATTTAGAAAGATTGACTCCGATAGACCTAGAGTAAGCAGATGACACACTTCAGTTAGGTGATGTTACTGACGAGATGTATAGTCTTCTGAAAACTTTGAATGGGTATATGAGAATGTTTTGAATGCGTTTCTCACTATCTTAGTGTGAATGGTTACTCCATAACTGGTGTCTTGTCTACCAATAGGAAGTAAAGCGGTTGAGTGCATCGACCACTTCACTTACTTGGAAAGCTTTATCAGTGAATAAACGACGGAAGAAATCTCTGTATAGATACGAAAGGTTCCCATTGTTTTTACCCACTAAATCCATTTATGACACCGGCAAGATATGCGATTGTCGTCTACGTTTTGAGCAAACTGCACACTGATTCGCTTTGTTCCACTTTACTGCTGTAAAATAAATCCACTAAAGGTGGGGCCATAAAAGCACTTTAGGTGTTTGACAACCATTGCATAGGTCGACTGTTGTGGAACCACCATCTCAGTAATATAAATACCGGCTATGGAAATTAACGCAGATGGTATTTCAAACTTTTGTCGTTTAAGATGGCTGAGACATGTGGAATGTTTGATTAGTTACTATCTATCCCACAACACAATATTAGATGAGGTGCAATTTAGGTGAAATAATGGTAAAGATAATCAGACTATAGCCCAGCTTTAGTTCATGCAGTATCTAACTTTTATTTTGAGTCATGTAGAGAAATCTAGACCTTCTGGCCGGATTCACCATGGCAACCAAAACAGGTGGTTGGTTGATCTAGGTGGTATGAATCAGAATTGACGTCAATGGGGCAGATGCATCCACACATTATCTTCGCCTTGACCATCACATCCAACTTCACTTATCTTTCACCCATCTCTTCTCATGAACGTTTACCTTTTTTATTACCTTCCTCATTATTTCTCTAACCCCTCTACATTGGTGTGCTGAGTTGAGGTGCGGAAACTTAAGGCGTTACACAGTACAGCCAAATTCGAGGTTGGTATTGAATAACTGGCTAACTGAAGTGAAATAAACTGTAGACAGCGTTTTATGACTAATCAAATTTTCTAGTGTAGTTAGGCCTCAATTTAACTCAGTAGTCTGGCTAACTGAAGCACCGTATAAACACTGAGTACTGAGTTTTACTATCCAATGATTCCTATCACAACCTTGTAAGAACATCTGTAAAAGAATGTTAGGTATGAGTCGAACGAATAACTTCCACTCTCCAGCATCAAAGTACAGTGCACCTCAGTACCACTTCAAATAGCTTTGTAACCTCATTGCAAACCTGACCGAAAGACTAATGAGCTCTGAGTGTTAATGGCTAAACATCTACGGCAGGTACCCACTACTGACCAATAGGCGTAAAATAATCTAGTCTGGAAATTTAGCGAACCGATCACGTTAAAGTGCTTTAGAAAATGAACCATGGGAGATTTTCATCGAAGTACATAAAGTTACTGACATTTGCGACTTTATTATTGAATACCTAATTATTCAAAGAAGGGGACAGTTTTCTTGGAACGTTCGCCATATGGAAGTTACATTTTTGCCGTCGGTTAAGAAATGACTAAACTGAGATGAGAAAAACATTTAAAACCTGAGTAGTTCAGTTAGTGTTGACTCTGATAATCAGTCTTTTCTTATCAAGGCAGCTCTCATCATGAACCAAAAATCAATCGGGGAGTTATATGAAGTTCGGGGGAGCCTGACAGCTGACATCCTCATTTGCAACTCCTCAGCAATACGTACCCACGGCAAATTGGGGGATCAATCCAGGACGGCTGGGTTTCATGTAGACCATAGTCGCGTTCAACCACTAATGGTCCACTTTACCAACTTCTACTTTATCACATGTTCACTAACTCGCAAACAACTCAAGAAGTTTTGTAAAATCTTTCTAAACGGAAGCGTTAATTTTCGAAGACTTACAGTTTTCCCAGTTAGTCATGTTTTTATGTATCCTACATGTATGCTACCTCATTATCGATGTAATGCCCTAACTTTGAGGTCTTACAGGGAATAGAGCTCTAATGCTTTGCTTACCTTAGTTGTGGGCCTGGTGTAATCTAACAGATTCGAGAACATCTGTGAAGTTATTCCTGTTATGAGCTTTTCATGTTAACCGAATAGAAGCGCATTTTGTTATCACCTTACGCCACAGTCTGACTTGTTTCACTGTCTTAGACGTCACTGTATCTTATTAAATTCAATACACTCATTCGCATGCATGGCCATGGATATGATTCACTCCAGATTTCTTAGGTTTATCCAAGTTTACTAGTCTAGGTTGTGCTCTGATAAGTATGCTGAATTCAGTCGTCTACCTTGATTTATATAATAAACCTCAGTAAGTCGAATTAGATAGAATTCATTATTTTGCTTCATTAACCCATAATGTCATTAATGACCACGTTTTTACCTACGTTTACTTAAGGGTATCGTAGCAAATAAAATCCAAGTCTTATTGAAAATCTTATCCTGGATATATGACGCATTTGGGTTCAATAGCAGTAAAATGGTGGTAGATGACCCACCTCGGCAGTATTATAAGTGACTTTAAAGACCATCTTTGCGAAAACTACAATAGCCAACCAGACTTGTTTATTTTATTAAAATCCGAATTTCCAGTAGAAGTAAGGGAAACCAAGTGGTTATTTCAGTCGCTGTTAGGATGATCTTTAGAGTCACCTCGGTATTACCATTATTTGTTGTTACCATGGTGACTTGAATCTCGATCTTATCTATTGATATGAATGATGCTTGAAGGCTTAAAACAAAATCTTGTGCATTGTGTATCAGTCATTGTTAAGATGGTGCTTTTATCCTGTAATTACCTTTTAACAGCTATTTTACCATATCAAGTATGGTAAGTCAAGTAGTAGATAATAAAGCCTTCCGTTTTTGCATTATAGCAGTCCTTCAATAATCACAATCATATTTTTATCACAAACATCATTTAGGTTATTTCTATTTTCGAATCCAAGTGTACTATTTGATCAGCATGAAATAAACACGTAGAACTGAATCTAGTTAAAAGCATCTTCTAACCTTACAAAACAGTGAACCATATTAGGTTAGGTGAATTCATGTCACACCGAAAACACCACAAGCGTCTTGGACCGAAATATGCGCACACTGATGACGTTCAAGAGTATTTTTATATGTGAACATTTCAAGTTTTTTCTAATTGCTGATTGTGTACAACGTTGCAGCATACACAAAATACTGATACTTATACTACTCGACTAAAAACTTAAATACTTTATGGGGATTTTTATGAGGAATTTTACTAAATTGAGACTGATGATACGTATGACTTACCAGAAAGACTAACTATAAGGAGGACAAGTTTTCAAGACTGATGTCAATGAGAGCAAAAATACTTAATGAATGAGCACATAACTAACTTTATTATGTCTAATGCTTGTCAAGGTCATCCATGACGTTATCAATTAAAAATTGTACATGAATGGACAACATTTACTATAGGCTAATCATTATCATTTCTGTAATACTCCATTCATTCCATATAACAAGATAACTCTAAAATAAATGTATATATTAATTTGAAGTGCATTAAAATCAATAATAACAAGTTGTAATTGATAAAATGGATCAATTCATAACAGCTGTATAGACTCATTTTCAAGTACTATGGTTTGAGTTGTTCAAGTCATTGACTTCATTTACATCTGTAGCGAATAATGAAATGACTTATTTGATTTACGTATTTCACAATAAAGTGAACCTTTCAAACAAAATGAAGAAACCTGATTGATTATTTTAGGAGTTTCAAAAGTGACATTGAAAACCAGTCGGTTATAATTAACCTTTTTTTGAAATTCCATCGCTTTCTCGAATACAGTTATAAGTCATGGTTCATGTGTCACTTCCGATATTCTGTTGGCTTGACAAAGACATTGACTACATATTTAACCAAGTTCCCGGTATATATATCTCCTACTTACTGGTCTTAGTGCAGGTCGCCTGAAGAGTAGCCTTTTTCAATCTGTTTTTGAGTTTGATGTTGGTTGTAAACTAGATGAACTTTGATAGTCGATAGTTTTATTCAGGTCCCTGCTATGTCTCCTTCTTATGACTGTACTGTTGTAAGACCTGTTGCGGGTATTTTACAACTAGTCCAATAAAGAATGTTTTTGGGTTTGCACACTGGTAAGTAGCAGTATGCATTGATGAAATTGTATCATAATAGTTCATCCTTGGTCATCTTGGTCTATAAAAGTAAGAAAAAACTGAAAACATGGCGCATAACCAAAGTGAAATACAATTAAACGAAGCAATGAATAAGTGTAAATGATGCACTGTAGCTGAAGATGTGCCATTTCATGGTACATTGAATAAACTTTCTACACACTATCATGGTAACAATGAAACTTATCCACCTGGTACGAATTTCTGAGTAAATTCAAAGGTCACCCTAACAACTGCTGAAGTAACCGGGATATTCTGTAATTTTAAATGAAGACGTAGCTTTTCATGTAGTAGAGAGACGCAGTTGGCTATCTCAGCAGTTGTTAGTGTGGTCTTCAAAGTTATTCGAACTTTTAAAATAAGATATCATTCACACATTATCCTTGCAGGTTCGTTACCTTAACTAGTTTCCCCGGCTAAAGTAAATTCATCAAAGATTAGTTATGGGATTCACTGTCTAAAAGTCGGGTGCTAAAGCCAAAAGTTCAAAGACACGATGGAAATGGGAAAAGACGTAAGTTGTCCAACTTCGGTTAACCATACATTTATCTTCAAACTATCATAAACAAGAACTTTGATTCTCATCAAATTACTTTTTAGACATGCCTTATTGAAAATGAAACTATTAAGATCTATTTGAAAGTGTTGCCATCTTTGGTGTGATACTAACATAAACATTTTTGTCTAGCAAACTACAATGTAAACCAGTTGAAGTGTTACAATATTTATATTTTGTTGATCTAAATACTTCATTACTACTCAGAAGACTTTGCACTGCTCTGATCACGACGTACGAAGTAAAAGTAGCCGCTATGTCAAAAATCACATTTGAAACCTAAACGAAATTTTCATTTCAAAACATCTTAATCTACGAACTCCAGTCGCAACAGACAAAAAGCAGTGAGACGATCCAACAAACTTTGTCTGAGAGAAGAACTCCACAGGATTACCCAGAAACCAGCTATTATTCACAGTGACGTCAACAAGTGAAATGCAGACTTATGAAGATACTGAACAACGGGGACTATGAAGTGACTGAAGCATCCAATAAAGCCAATCAGCTGTTTTCAACAAGTTCAGAAAAGGCTCAAAATTAAATGTTCACCAATTAATGGAATGAAAATAGGCTACAAATAGAACAAAGCTAGGAATAGGAAACCATCAAATATCAATCGAACAAAATGAGTTTCCAAAGTTTCAACAAAAGAACTAAGCTCGACTGAGAAAAAGCTTCATGAAAGCGATTAATTTCAACGTAGTATTAGCTCGACTTAAACCTGATGATATCCCACCTAGCTTAGAAGTAGCATTAGGCTTGAAGGATAGGACGGTGACTGATTATATCCCTACACAATGTGAAAAAGCACTAAAACGCCAAAAGAAAGTGAACCGAAGCCTAATGACACCAGAAATTCATGAAATGACAGCAGCATAGTAAACAATTGTCAAATCTACCACCGGTGATTCATTAACAGTCATAAGGAAATTCAATAAACGTATAGAAACCAAACCATATAAGAAAATAAAGAAAACTGTAGAATCAGAATGAATAAGATTAAGAAATCTACCACAGATCAAACTCTCCAAATAAATCCATATCTGAGTGGGTCTATGTGATTTTCTTTGATGCGTAAAACAGTAATTTAATTAACGGTATTATACTATTAGGACTCAGTATGGTACATGAAGTAGTCAGAAATGAACTCACCAATGATCTGGAATTAAAACTGGAGTTTCAACTAAAGAAAACATGCTAGGGATACTACCCTACCTCACTTTCACAATCTTCAAATTTCCTGTCCACATATGGGAGACTGGCACTTGGTAATTAACTTGAAATTAGGACTTAGTCAGCGGCTGGGTCTCGTAGCTCAATTGATAGATTACTAGCTAGGCAACCTAGAGGCCACTGGTCATAACCTTGCTGTGACCTAGATTTTCATTTCACTTCTGGTCATCACCTAACAGTAATAATATGAGTCTACCAAACCACAACTTTCTCGGATAGCTAAAATGACTAACAGACGAAGCATCGTTACGATTTCCGGTATTCCTGACCCCAACTAACATATCTGGGGACAATTAAGAGCAAAATAGTACTGGGAACATACCAACCTACTCCAAAATTATGGTAGACAAGTGTATGTGATTCATCAAGTGTGCTAAAATCAGAGCTCATTCATAGTTTTATCAAACATAAACTCAATATTCAATGTAATCCAACTCGCCTATGAACTAGAAAATAAATATACAGAACTACTTATGTTGGCTTGTAAAATGAATAGAAGAGAAGATAGGTACTTCTGCGGAACCAACACACTCGAAAAGATACTTGAATTTTACATCATCTTACACAATGTCTGGTAAAATGTCTAGGTTATCCAGCCAAGAGTCTGACCAATAAGTCAGCAAATCTAAACAAAGAAATCAAACTCACTGAAAAGACATTAGGATGCAATAACTACTCTCCAGAGTCTTTTAAAAGGTCTTTAAAGGCTTACAAAAGAAGCAGCGATAATATTTGTGGTAACCGAAACTGGCTTGGGAGGAAATTTAACTTATTCTTTGTAGTGTTACCACATAAATAAGACATATCGCTCAAATAAAGTCAGTAAACCAAAGTCTGAGTTCAAATATTTGAAACAGGGAGCCAAAACTCTACCGTGCCTCCACAAAAATGTACATTGAGCTAGACCAGGTGATTAAAGTTTGTCACTATTGTCGGCAGATAATTATGATGTCTAAACTATAGATTGGTTGCTCTTACCTCTTTGATTTACTGCAAAAATGAAGTATGAGAAAAAACTAAGGTGGATTGTTACTCCTGTAACCAGTACCTTTCCTCGCATAACTTCTTCAAAATACATAGTCAACGGTGATGTGAAACTTGAGAGGTGATATCCACTTCAGGCATTTATTTGTAAATAATTGAGTACTTTAGGTATATTATTGATAACATATACACTTTAAAAAGATTCTGTTGCTTGTTAACATCTTTTTTTATCTCGTATTAAGGATATTTGTCCGAATAATAATTGTTAGCTGATGCGAATGTCTCGAAGTAATAATTCCAGTCAATTTGTGACTAAATTCATTTCTTTTTCCGATTACTGACGTCTTTATTCAAACACTGTTTGAGAAGTGTACGTTGCACTAAATTTTATAATGGTAACGTGATTAGCCTACACCTAAAATCTAACATACGATCCTGTGTAAAGTACTACGCATTATTTTAACTACATAAAATATTTTATTGCTTTCTACTAGCAAGTCAATAATTCCCGTCCCTAAATACTAACTGAGGGATTATTATTATTATTATTATTATTATTATTATTATTATTATTATTATTATTATTATTAGTCTCTTGGGTTCCTAGTGGAACATAGGGCTTCAGTAGCACGTCTCCAGTGACCTCTGTTCTCTGATATCTTTAGAACCTGGTTCCACGACAGCCCACAACCTCTCATTTCCTCTTCGCACGACCTCCTCCATGTCACCCTCGACTCAGACGCCCAGCTCGTCGCTTCCCATGGGGATTCCACTCAACGGCCTGACGCGTGATGTCCCCAGACGGCCTTCTCAGTGTATGCTCAATCCACCTCCACTTCCTTCCAGTGCATATTTGTTGGGTGATAGGTTCTTGGTTGGTTCGTTGCCAGAGCTCCTTGTTGCTTATTTTTCCGGCAATCCATCTGATCTTCGGTAACGAGCCAGTGTAGGCAGTTGTTGATGAATGTCTGTAGTTTATTGGAAATCCCTTTCGTAACGCGCCAAGTCTCTGAACCATATAGAAGCACTGACTTGACGTTGGTGTTGAAAATCCGGATCTTGTTCACATTGTAGGCTGAGTGCAGAAGATCTCTACACTGGTTTCAAGCTAATGAACGCCTGTCTTGCTTTTCCGATTCTGACTTTGACATCCTCGTCTGTGCCGCCTGTAGTTGAAACAGTGCTTCCTAGATAGATGAAGGAGGTTACTTCCTTTAAGTTTCTCCCGTTGATGGTGATTGGAGTTTGTTGTTGGTGGTGGAGTTATTGGTGCGGTACCTTCACAACTTCTCTCTTCTCTATATTTACTTGAAGTCCCGTCTTCGCTGCCTCTTCTGCCAACCTGTTAGTTTTCGCCTGAAGATCTTCAAGTTTGTGTGACATCAGGCACAAGTCATCGGCGAAATCCAGATCTTCTAGGTTCTTTTCCGCAGTCCAGCCAGCGTATACCCCTCTTCTCGCTCCTCACTGTTTGTTGCATGATCCAGTCGACCACAATCAGGAATACCATGGGTGATAGTAGGCAGCCATGTTTTACTCCTGTCTTCACTTTCACTCCATATGCATTACTGAGCTTCCCATTGTGAATTACTTGACATGTGACATCTTCATATAGTTGTTGAATGAGATTGACAAAGGTTTGCGGTATTCCGTAGTGTTGAAGCAGTTTCCTAATTACTTGTCGGTCGACGCTATCAAAGGCCTTCTCAAAGTTGATGAAGTTGA